AAAAACTCCAGTGTAAGGACAGCAGATGAGTGTGGTTCAGGCACCCACTTTGGACAATGGTAGGTAGCATCACACAGATTGCTATATAGGAGGAGAGCATGGAAGAGGCAGGGCTAGAATGTAACTCAGCTTTCACTGCTGCTGTCACCATGGCCACAGAGGAGGGTGTGAAGAACGATTCAGAGGAGATTTCAGAGGACACTTTGATGTTCTGGAAAGGAATAGCAGATATAGTACTGATGGAAGAAGTTGTCTGTAATATACAGAAGGAAATAGAGGAATTACTCAGGGGAGTTCAGCATCGGCTCATCCAGGCTCCTTTTCAGGTCGCAGATGCTATTGTTCTCAACAATGTTGCACATGCATTTGGTCTCCTGTTTTTCTAATGACCTATTGCATTCTTCATGGATGATATTGTTGATATTCTTCCACACCTAATCTAATCTTTGATCATTAGTGTTCAAAGTCTCAAATCTGTTCCTGATATGGTTTTTAAATTCAGTTAGGATAGACTCAAAGTCATATTTTGATTGTTGTAGATTTGCTTTAAACTTCTTTAGCTTTGGTTTGAATATGCATATGAATAATTGATGTTCCACAATTAGTACTTGGCCTAATTTTCACAGTTATATTGAGCTTTTCCAATGATTCTTTCCACAGATGTAATTGATCTGATTCCTGTGCATATCATCAATTGAAATCCACGTATATAGCCTCTATTTATTTCTTATAAAAATACTTGCAATGAATAAATCATTGTACAGAATTTTATCATTCTATCTCCAGCCTCATTTCTGTCACCAGCTCCATGTTTTCCGACAACTGATCCTTCTTGCCTGTTCCCAACTTTTAAAGCATTCTAGTCACATATTATCTTATTTTTTCATTTTTTATAATTTTAATTGTGATTTTAATGAACGTTTACAGGAAAGCTGCATTTTCATTCCTTCATTGTTGTACATTTTCATCCCTTCCCCCTTCATCCCCAGTTCACTTTCTTTTTCTTTTTTTAAAGACATTTATTCATTGTTACAGTTTCCTCCCTTCCACCTTCTCCTCCCTCTGCCACAGTCCTCTTTGCAATGTACCTCTTATTATGTATTATTGTCTTATATATACTGCCTAATCGTAAATTACTTTTAAACAGTTTTCTTCCTCCTCTATTCCAATACAGTGTTCATTATCTATCCACTCTTTTCCTAGTCTCCTTCCAACTCCCCATGTCAGTCCTTCTTTATAACAGTGCTGTTATGCAGTATTCGTCCTTTGAACCTGAGGCATTTAACTCAGCATAATGTCCTCCAGGGTCACCCATGTTGTATAATGTTTTACAAGTTCATTATTTTTCAGTGCTGCATAGTATTATATCACATATATACCATAGTTTTTGTATCCATTCGTTTGTTGATGGGCACTTGGGTTGTTTCCATCTCTTTGCTTTATGAATAACACAACAATAAACACGATTGTTTATACTTCAGGATGGTGGTTTTGGTTTCTTGGTTGTATGTTTGCTCTATTTCTGATTGCAAAAGGATATATTCCAAGCAGTGGAAAAAATTATATATCTATGTTCAGCTTTTTGAGAAAATGCCATATTTCCTTCCAGAGTGGTCATACCATTTTAAAATTCCACCAATAGTACATAAGGATTCCTATCTCTCCACATTCTCTCCAACATTTATTGCTTGCTGTCCTGTTAACTTTGCCACTGCTATTGAAGTGAGATGGTATCTCATTGTGATTTTGATTTGCATGTCTCTTCCTACTAGTGATTTTGAACATTTCTTCATATATCTGTTGGACATCCGAATATCTTCCTTTGTGAAAATTTTTTTCTATGTCTTTTGCTCATTTTGTAATTGTGTTATCAGCCTTTATATTGTGGAGGCCCTGTAGGGTTTTGTAAACTTTTGATATGAGACCTTTGTCTGAAATGGTATTGCCAAATGTTTTTTCCCCAGTCAATAGGTCTGTTGCAAAATTTTCTTTTTTATGTACACAGGGATTTAATCTTTAGAAGGTCCCATTCATCAGTGTTATCCTCTCCAGATTGTGTATGTCTGACTCTATTATAGGACAGGCTCTTTATACTATAGACTACCCTATCTAATCTTATTCCAACTTTGTCTTATATGAACTTCAAGGCTTGGGACTTTACTCACAGGTCTCTGATCCACCTTGAGTTGGTTTTTGTGTATGATGAGAGGTTTGCATCCTACTTCAGCTTTATGCAGGTAATAGTTCAACTTTGCCAGCGTTATTTGTTAAGAGCTTGTAATTTCCCCTATTTAAAAGGTTTTGTTTCCTTGTTGATTTTTAGTTGACCAGAGATAGTTGGGTTAACTTCTGGGTTGTTGATTCTATTCCACTGGGGTATGTGCCAGTTGTTGTACCAGTACCATGCTGTTTTTGTAATTATAGCTGAGTAATAGTTTTAAAGATCAGGGCGTGCTGTGCCTCACACTTCATTCTTGTTTCTCAGAATATCTTTGCTTATTTGACCTCTCTTTCCTCTCCAAATAATTTTTCAACTGCCTTTTTTCTTTCTTTTTTAAAATTAATTTTAATGAATATTTGCAGAGACTTAAGGTTTCCAGTCATTCAATGTTGCACTTTTCTCCTGCTCCTTCCCAATTCACTCTTCTCCTTGAAAAGTAAAAGAAAACTGTTCATTTTATTCAATTTCTCCTCCCAAGTCCACTCCTATGTGTAGCCTTCATTCTGGACTCCTGCCATTAAAGTAATACCCAAACATATATCCCTTTTAAACAGTTCTCTCCCTCATCTCTTTCAATTCCGTATACATCATCCCTCCTCTCCTTCTCTGCCTTCCTTCAACACCAATGTCAGTCCCATTTTACAACAGTGGCCCTATATTTGTACTTTTATGACTGAGACATTTCACTCAGCATAGTGTTATCCAGGGTCATCCATTTTGCATAAGTTCATTAGTTCCTTGTTTTTCAATGATGCATAGTGTTTCAGAACTTCCCTATCCATTCGTTTGTTGATGGGCACTTGGATTGCTTCCAGCTCTTTGCTATTGTGAACAAAGCTGCAATAAACATGGGTGTGTATATATCTGCTTGGGTGGCAGTTATGGTTTCTTTAGCATAAATTCTCAGTAGTGGAATTGCTGGGTCAAGTGATATCTGTATTTGCAACTTTTTGAGAAAGCACGATACAGCTTTCCCTAATGGTTGCACCACTTTACACTCCCACTAACAGTAAATAATGATTCTGGTTTCTCCACAACCTCGCCAGCATTTGATGTTTGCTCTTCTGCTAAATTTTGTTATTCTTACTGGGGTGAGATGATATCTCATAGTTGTTTTGATTTTCATCTCTCTTAGAACTAGGGATTTTGAAGATTTCTTCAGGTGTTTGTTTGCCATCTGAATGTCTTCTTTGGTGAAATGTCTGTTCATATCCTGTGTCCATTTTTCAAATGGGTTGTTTACCTTCAACTTGTTGTGGTGCTCAAGTGTTTTATAAATTCTAGATATAAGTCCCTTGTCTGATAGGTCAGTGTCAATTTCTTTTTTCTCAAAAGAATACAGAACTGGAGCAGAGAAAAAGAATACCCTTCACAATAGCTGCTCACAAGATTAAATATTTAGGAGTAAACCTAACCAGAAGCACAAAGGGTCTAGTCAAAGAAAATTGCAAAACATTATTAAAAGAAACAAAATGAAAATTGAAGGAGTGGAAGAATAACCCTTGCTCATAGATAGGAAGACTCAGTATTGTGAAAATTACAGTTCTACCCAAGGGAATTTACACGTTCAATGCTATTCCAATACAAATACCAATTCCATTCTTCAGTGAAATGGAAAAAGCAATCTCCAATTTCATTTGGAATGGAAAGAGGCCCTGAATAAGCAAAGCACTCCTTAAAAAGAGAAACAAGGTAGGAGGCATCTCACTCCCTGATTTCAAATCCTACTACACTGCTCTAGTGGTCAAGACAGTGTGGTGGTTCAATGACAGACACATAGATCAATGGAATAGAATTGAGAATCCAGAAGTCAGCCCATCTACCTATGGTCAACTGATTTTTGACAAGGAGATGAAATCAGTTAAGTGGGGAAATGAGAGCCTTTTTAACAAACGGTGCTGGCAAAATTGGAAAACTGTCTACAGAAAAATCAAGCAAGATCCACACCTCACTGCATATACAAAAACCAATTCAGAGTGGATTATGGACCAAGGACTAAAGCCAAAGACTACAAACTTCATTTAAGAAAAGCATGAAAGAACTCTAGAAGTCCTAATCCACAACATAAACAGTCTCCAAGCATCCTGGAAAATCTCCAACCAGGAGAGGATAAAATAGATGAATGGGACCTTCTAAGAATCAAATCCCTATGCACATCCAAAAACTTCTCAATTGCCTTTTTTATCTCTTTGAAAAGAGAATCTGGTATCTGTATTTCATTAAACAACTAGACTGCTTTTGGTAAGGTTGTCATTTTTTTTTTTTTGGCCCAATGATGTTGCTTTTTGTGTGTAAATGTTATTTACACTACTTCATTTTCAGAAATTTCCTATCTAAAAGTGCAAAATGTTAAAGAACAATCCCATGCCTGAGCAGAAAAGCCTCTGACACATGGAAGGTAGCTCTTCCATTCTGCACACAGACCCACAGGAGGTAGACCTGGGGTCACACTCTCCCTGTACAAAGCTAGGTTGACCACCAAGGACCCCACTCCCCAACCAGATCTTTCTCTGTGACTCAGCTTGGATTCTTTTTTCAAAAAGTCTGCTTGAACCATGTCCTTCCAGGGCTGGTTGGTATGCTGACCTCAGCTTCATTTGTAAAATCAGATCCACACTTAACAGCTCTCACTGGGACATCTGGGGAGGTCAGCAAACACTAGAAAGGGGCAGTTTCAGGAGATGGTCCCTCCTTGGAGTCAGCAGGAGCAAGTATGTGTTGGAGCGAGGCTGAAGATAAGTGGTCATCAGGGACAGTCATGCCAAGGTCGTCACGAATGCTGGGCACCTGGGGCCAGGAGTCCAGCAGTCACTCCCAGAGGAAGCGCACATACCAGATGGTCTCATTCTTCAGCTGGGGGCCAAACAGGGGATTGAGCTGGGCCAGGATGGCAATGAGCCAGAAGAGGTAACAGCAGACAGCGGTGGTCACCAGCATGGTGATAATCACTCCACGGTTAGGTCCCTTAGGCACGAACCAGGGCCCGGCGATACCGATGAGGCCCCAGAACGTGGTGAAAATGATGACCGGGAGAGCGAAGGAATGCGCTGTCATCGCCAGCGGGAGTCGCCCGTACCAGGCCATCAAACCCAAGCAGAAGAGAATGAAGCCACCCAGGTGCTCGGGTCCGGAGCCTGAGAACGGGAAGGTTGTCATTTTTACTATATTTTGTGTTCCTAGGCATGAACAGGGAAAATTTTTCCATTTGTTTAGGTCTTATATCTTGTTTCACAGAAATGTTCTGTAGATGTTTATTTGTTTTTGTTTTGGGTTTTCTTGTGGTTGGTTTTTTTGTTTGTTGTTTTTTGTTTTGTTTTGTTTTGTGTTTTGGGGGGTTTTGTTTTTGTTTTTGTTTTTGTTTTCTGAAGTGTCTTTAGCTAGGTTTATTCCTAAGTATCTCAGTTTGTGGTTAACGGTTGTAAATGGTATTACTTTCTTAGTTTCGTTGTCCGTGTTTTGTTTGTTTGATTTAATTTTTGTTATTTTGTTTGGGGTTTTGTTTGTTGTGGGTTTTTTGGTTTGGTTTTGTTTTTTGTTATTGTAAAGAAATTCCACTGACTTTTGAATATTACCACTTTGTCCTGCCACTCTACTTAATTGGTCTACTAGCTCTAACAGATTTTTGTGAAGTCCTTGGGGTTGTCTATGTATACTAGCATGTAGTCTGTGTATAGCAACAATTTAACCATCTTTTTGCTTATCTGGATGCCTTTTATTTCCTACTCTTGTAGTACTGTCCTAGAAAGCACTTCCAATACAATACTGAATGGAAACAGTGACAGTGAACATCCTTGTCTGGTCCCTGTTCCCAAAAAAAATGCTTTTAGTCTTTCTCCACTGAGAATCATACTAGCTCTTGGTTTTGCATGTATACTTTTCACTATGTTGAGGAAATTTTCTTTACTTTCACTTTTGCTGAGTGTCTTTATTACTATTTTTCAAGGGTGATGGATTTTGTCAAATCCCTTCTCTGTATCAATTACAAAGATTATATGGTTTTACGATTTTCTTTGTTAATATGGTGAATTATGTTGATTATTCTTCTTATGTTGAACCATCCTTGCATACCAGTTATGAATCCCACTTAGTCATAATGAATTTTTGTTTTTTGGATTTTTTTAATGTGTTGTTGGATTCTATTGGTTAGGGTTTGTTAAGGATTTGTACATTCATATTCATGAGAGATATTAACCTGTAGTTTTCTTTATTGGTAGTATCTTTGCCTGGTTTTGGTATTAGAGTTATGATTGCTTCATAGAACGACTCTAGGAGTGTTTCTTCTTTCTCTATTTCTCTCTCTCTCTCTCTCTCTCTCTCTTTCTTTCTTTCTTTCTACTTTAAGTAGAATTGGTGATAAATATTCTCTGAATATTTGGTAGAATTCAGCTGTGAAACATTCTGGTCCTGTACTTTTCTTACGGGTATGTCTTTTTGTAACTTGTTCAAATTCTTCGTCTGTCATAGGTTTGTTCAAGTGTTTTCCATCTACCTATCCTGTCAATCAAGATTTTACTGAAGATTATCCAAAGATGACTGAAACAGCACATCAACAGAGAACTACCAGAAGTCCAGGCTGGGTTTAGAAGGGGTCGTGGTACTAGAGATATTGTAGCTGATGTTAGATGGATCTTGGCTGA